GTATGGTATCCTAAAATTCTGTACTTCCCCCTGGAACACCCCATTGCTGCCCGTTCAAAAGCCCGGTACAGATGAGTATCGACCTGTGCAGGACTTGAGAGCAGTCAATGATGCGGTTGTTAGTATACATCCAGTCGTGCCCAATCCATATAACCTGCTTGCTTTAATTCCGGGAGGGGCTACTTACTTTACAGTCTTAGATCTCAAAGATGCCTTCTTTTGCCTCCGAATTGCCGCAGAAAGCCAATGTATCTTCGCTTTCCAATGGGAAAATGCTGTAACGGGCTCGAAACGCCAAATGACCTGGACAAGATTGCCCCAGGGGTTTAAAAATTCACCCACCCTATTTGGTTCAGCTCTAAGTCAAGATCTACTAGATTTCGAGTCTATCCCAGGAGAGTGTGTATTATTACAATATGTAGATGACTTGTTGATAGCAGCAGTTACAAAGGAAGTATGTCAGCAAGCAACGCACGATCTACTACACATTCTCTGGAAGGCAGGGTACAAGGTGTCAAGAAGGAAGGCTCAGTTGTGTTTGCCAACTGTCAAATATCTGGGATTCCATATCTCTGAAGGTCAAAGAATTATGGGGCCAGAGAGAAAAGAAGCTGTGTGCCAAATACCGATACCCAGGAATAGAAGACAAGTGCGAGAATTCTTGGGGGCAGCAGGCTTCTGGAGGATATGGATTCCCAGCTACGCGATACTGGCAAAACCTCTGTATGCAGCTATCAAAGGTACAGAGCACGACCCCTTCTTATGGACTCAAGAACAGCAAACCGCATTCGAAGATGTGAAGAGGGCTTTGATGAGTGCCCCAGCATTAGGTCTACCTGACCACACACGGCCATTCTACCTGTATGTACATGAGCAAAGAAGAATGGTTGTGGGAGTATTGACACAGTACTTGGGATCATGGCAAAGACCTGTTGCCTACATGTCTAAGCAACTGGATGCAGTGGCCAGCGGACTTCCACCTTGTCTAAGAGCTGTAGCTGCAGCCGCCCTGCTAGTAGCTGAAGTCGATAAACTCACTCTGGGTCAAGAACTTTATGTACGAGTTCCACATGCAGTACAGACGTTGTTGGATTACAAAGGAAATCATTGGTTTAGTAACAGCCGAATGACCAAGTATCAAGCAATGTTGTGTGAAAACCCAAGAGTGCATTTAGAGACTGTAAATACCTTAAATCCAGCTACCCTTTTGCCACAACCTACTGAAAGTCAACATGATTGTTTGGAAGTAATGGATGAAGTATTTTCAAGTAGACTAGATCTTCGTGATTTTCCCATCCAGAACCCTGATGTTCAATATTACACCGACGGCAGTAGTTATGTAAAAGAAGGGATCCGCTATGCAGGATATGCAGTAACAACGATAGACAAGGTGATAGAAGCTCGGCCACTGGCAAAAGGAACATCAGCACAAAAGGCAGAATTGATAGCACTGACACAAGCATTACAATTGGCTGAAGGTTTAAGAGTGAACATCTACACGGACTCCAAGTATGCGTTTTTAACCACTCATGCCCACGGAGCTTTGTATAAAGAAAGAGGATTATTGAATTCAGAAGGCAAATAAATCAAATATGCAGCTGAGATCCTACAACTATTGGAAGCAGTGTGGGAGCCGAAAGAAGTCGGTATTATACATTGTCGGGCGCATCTGAGAGGAGATGGTGATGTAACCAAAGGGAATCGGATGGCAGATAGTGCAGCTAAGCGTGCTGCTGAATCAGGAAGACAGGAATATGTGGGGTATATAGCTGCTCTTATACCAACTCCACTGTCTCAATGGACTCCAATTTATACAGCTCAAGAAGAGGAGTGGTTAAGGACTGAACCTGGAAAGTATTTGGAGTACAAATGGTATCAGTTAGAAGATGGAAGAATAGTTATTCCAGCATCACTAGCGGTAGAAATTGTCCAAAACTATCATAACGGGACACATTCTGGGAGAGACAGTACAGAAGAATCTCTCAGAAAACATTTCTACATACCAAGATTGTCCAACTTGACTCAGGCCATTGTACGTAGATGTGTAACGTGTGCTAAAAATAATGCAAGACAAGGACCAGTAAAGCCACCCGGAGTCCAGTTTATGGGGGGACTTCCCATGTCCGATTTACAAATTGACTATACAGTGATGCCTAAATCGGGTGGACATCGCTACCTGCTGGTAGTGGTGTGCACCTATTCAGGCTGGGTAGAAGCATGTCCTACTCGTACAGAGAAAGCAGGAGAAGTCGTGAGATTCCTGCTACGAGAAATAATACCCCGATATGGACTACCCTGTTCTATAGGATCGGACAATGGTCCAGCTTTTGTTCATCAGTGCCTACAACAACTGACTCATATGCTTGGTATAAAGTGGAGGCTTCATACGGCATATAGACACCAGAGTTCTGGTAAGGTAGAGAGAATGAATAGAACTATTAAGAATCAGTTGGCTAAAATGTGTCAAGAAACCCAACTTAAGTGGAACGTTCTCTTGCCCATAGCTCTATTGCGAATCCGTAGTACACCTACCAGAAGGATGGGCCTCTCTCCTTTTGAAATCATGTACGGGCGACCACCTCCCGTGCTTGGTAACTTAAGGGGGGATTTGAGCCAGTTGGGAGAAGGAATTACCCGGCAGCAGGTTGTAGAGTTGGGTAAGACTATGGAGGAGGTACAGAAATGGGTACAAGATAGATTACCTGTGAATATTTATCCCCCAATTCATAGTTACCACCCAGGCGACCAAGTGTGGATTAAAGAGTGGAATAATGTGCCGCTAGGGCCCAAGTGGAGAGGTCCTTATGTTGTTCTTCTGTCTACCCCTACAGCGATAAAAGTAGCCGAAGTGGCTCCGTGGATACATCACTCCAGGGTTAAACCAGCAGCAGCCGATTCCTGGCAAGTTACAGCAAATCCAGAGAATCTCTGCAAGATCCGGTTAAAACGCACGACTCAGTCGGAGTGACGAGGAACCTTGTAGATTACAAATTTTATTGTTTCAGAGACTTGGTAAGTGAGTGAGAAGGCCATAATAAAGCCTGTCCACTCACCAACGAGTGTATAAGTCAGGAAAAGTCTTGAGGGGACCCCTGTGAAGACGAGCAGAACTCCATTCCCTGCAGCCCTTACATCCTGGAAGCTGAGGTGCCTTCGCACGGACGAAGACTGAGGATGACGACGAAAGATGTATTTTTAATAATGTTTATTTATGTATATTTTTATATTCAGGAAGGTAGAGGTACCAACACTCCTAGCTGTGAGGTATGCATTAAGACTACAAGAACAGGTAACCATATATCCCAGACCCTAATTGGGCATTCGCAATATGAGTGTAAAGGAGATGTATCAAGATGTAGATACTTAAATATAGAATATAGTGTGTGTCATTTAGGAGTAGGAGAACCTAAGTGCTTCAGTCCTGAGTATCAACCCAGTACAATTTGGTTGACTCTCAGAAATGGAGATCCTCAGGGGACCCTAATTAATAAGACGGTATTAGAATCCGTATATTCTTCAGGTGCTCTGCTATTTGATGCGTGTAAAGCAATATCAAGTGGTAGAAAGCCGTGGAATGTATGTGGGGATCTTAGATGGGAGAGGACGTATGGGTCTAACGATAAATATATTTGTCCCAGTAGTAAAATAAATATGTAAGTCCAAGATGCCCAAATAGAGATTATAACTTCTGCCCATATTGGTCTTGTGTGGGGTGGGCGACTTGGGGACAGACAGCAGACAAGGACATGATTGTGACTAAGTTGCCTACTAATCCATATTGTAAGTCTATGGAATGCAATCCAATCCATATACTTATAAATAACCCTGACAAGTTCTTAGATAAATATGGTAATTTACTTGGGTTTCAAATATATGGGACGGGTTTAGACCCTGGGACAATATTGTTTATAGGGATAGAGACTGATACGGTAACCTCCCAAACTCATCAAGTATACCATTCCTTTTATGAAGAGATGAGCATAGATAATAAGATCCCCCATAATGCTAAAACTTGTTCATTGATTTAGCCGAGAGTATTGCCGGTAGTCTTAATGTTACCAACTGCTATGTGTGTGGAGGTACTAACATGGGAGACCAATGGCCTTGGGAAGCAAAGGAGGTAATGTCCGGTTCTGAGGCAGTTGACCAATTAATATCTACACAAGCCGACTATCATATGAGTGTTAGAGGTAAATCTGAGTGGAGATTGAAGACTTCCATCATAGGTTATGTTTGCATAGCGAGGAAAGGAATGATGTATAATACTTCTGTAGGAGAATTAACTTGTCTAGGGCAAAAAGCTTATGATGATGATACAAAGAATACAACTTGGTGGTCGGCTTCAAATGTCTCAGAACCATCTAACCCGCTTGCAAGATATGCCAATTTAAAGGACGTATGGTTTGATCTATCCATCACATCTAACTGGAGAGCCCCAGCGAATTTGTACTGGATCTGTGGTAAGAAGGCCTATTCGGAGTTACCACAGGACTGGGAAGGGGCATGTGTGTTGGGTATGTTGAAACCATCCTTCTTCTTGTTGCCTATTGAAACAGGTGAGACTTTAGGTGTTAAAGTGTGTGATGTGAATCATAGGAAGAAAAGGGGACCCATAGAGATAGGTGCCTGGGAAGATAATGAATGGCCTCCCCAGCGTATTATAGATTATTATGGGCCAGCCACGTGGGCAGAGGATGGTACCTTTGGTTATAGAACCTCTATTTATATGCTCAACCGCATTATAAGGTTACAGGCGGTGGTTGAGATCATTACTAACGAGACATCACAAGCGCTCAATCTTCTAGCGAAGCATAATACCAGGATGAGGACAGCAGCTTACCAAAATAGATTAGCCTTGGATTATCTTTTGGCAGTAGAGGGAGGTGTATGTGGGAAGTTTAACCTGAGCAATTGCTGTCTTCAAATAGATGACGAAGGGCAAGCAATAGCTGAGCTTACTAGCCATATGGTTAAACTAGCTCATGTGCCTACTCAGGTATGGAAAGGGTACAATCCAAGTAGTTGGTTTGGTAGCTGGTATGAGTGGTTTGGAGGGCTTAAGGCAGTGGTAGGTGGAGTCCTACTGATTTTAATGTTGTGTCTACTCCTGCCGTGTCTTATACCCTCAGTAGTTAGGTCTGTGCAAAGCCTGATAGAAAATATAGCAGAGAGGAAGGCTGCTGCACAGATAATGGCAATTTATAAATATAAGGCTCTAGATCAGGGAGAACCAATGAAGGAAGACGAGTGTTGAAGATTCACATCATAGGATAAGTCTGGTCTGGTTCAAAGGTAACTTGTGGTGTATGCAAACCAAGGTTAAGTGATGCCTCAAGTAATTGTAAAATATCAAGAGGCATCAAAGGGGGGAATGTGGTGGAATCTCGGTAAAAAATAAATTTAGTAGGCCGAGATTACCACGTGGCATGTGTACGTGCATATGCTGACGTATCGATCAGTTGGTTGCACGAGGCAAGATACGATCAGTGGTGTACGGAGCATGTGCAAGAATACAGGATGTAGTATTCCCCTCCTCCATTGTGCTGGACAAGCCATGCGGTCAAGCAGGAAGTTAATTCTTATTTGTAAATGATTGGTCAAGAGAATGTGCGGGTGGAGCTTAATATGGGAGGAGTTATGTGCCTATATAGGGAGCCTGCACTATTGTTCAGGGCTCAGAACTTGCTGTATTTTTGGTGACATTAGTCCTTCTGAGTCCCGATCGGTGATCCAATAAAGAATCTCTTCCTTCCTGAAGAAACCTGTGTCCATCCCTCTGTGCTTTAAGCCTCACAGTTTCTCCGTATCAATATGTATATAATTATATATATATATATATATATATATATATATATATATATATATTAATATCAAATTACACGTAGACTGATACTGATTAAATATATATATAATTATTGTTATATATATATTTATATATAATATAAAAAAATTAAATATGTAAATACGTTAAAAAATTAAATAAAAATAATTAAAAAATATATAGATGTGTGTTATTTCTTTCTAACTGTATTGTGATATTCCCTCTAATCCTTCCCGTTCCCTGTCTTTAGATGGGGTGTGGTAAGTTTTTTATTTTTTTTGTGTGGGGGACCCATTTGCTGGTGTGATATCCCGTGTTTCGATCTGTCCAAGGGTGAATTCTGATGCCTACCCGCACCCTAAGGGGATCCCCCCTCCCAAACCTGTGCTTGTACCATGTCAGCCCACAGTCAGAGTACCTGGTTGCAGGTGTGCAGATATGCAGCCGGCGTACTTCTCCGACCCGGGTTCCATTAGTCTGTGGTGACTGGGGAGAATGGGGTCCTCAAGTGCAGTCGCAGGCTTATCGGCAGGGAGATTACTCATCCGGGTGTGTCAGATCTTGTCGGTGTCGCGGTGCGTCACCCGGGGAGTTCCATCTACGTCGCTGTGTCTGTCGCTGCAGTTGTGGTCTGGGTTCTAATGGCATGAAGACACATTTCGGGATGGGAGTCGGTGGTAGATTCAGCCGTTGCAAGAATTGAGGGATTTCCTCGGGCCATCTGGCTGAGACCCATTCATTATTATGGCGGACCGCAATGCTAAATGGGTAACCCCATCTATACTGCATGTTTTTCTCTCGTAGGATGGTGGCCCGTCTGGCTTCCAAGGTTATAGGCGAAAGGTCATTGTAGAGAGATACCTCCGCTCCCCTGTAGTTCCAGTGGGCCCTGGGTCTAGCTTTCGCCATGATCAGGTCTTTTAGAGTGAAGGAGTGCAGGCAGCATATTATATCCCTGGGTGTCCCCTCTGTGGGTCGGGGTCGGAGTGCTCTATGTTATATTTGATATGCGCTGGTGCGTCTTCCCTCAGTATCGTGCGGAATAGGGAGGTGGGCAACTCCTCTGCGTTTTACCCCTCTGGGGAATCAGGCACCCCTCTCACTTTAATATTGTTGCGGCGGCTGCGGTTGTCCTGGTCTTCTAGCTGTCGTCTCATGGCCAGTAAGAGTGTGCCCTGGCGTTTAAGGGCAGTGTCTGTGGCTGCAGAGTGATTTTCTGCAGCCTGTGTTTTCTGTTCCACCTGCGCTATGCGGGTCTCCTGTGCTTTTATTGCAGCCTTCAGGCTAGCTACCTCAGTCTTAATTGCCTCATGTAGTAGAGAGGATAGGTGATTGAGGTCGTCCTTTGTGACCATCGTCCTTGCCATGCGCTTGAGTTCAGCCCCGATGTCTGCCAGCGTAGTGGTGTCGGCTGCAGAGCTTGTGGCGCCATTTTGGACGTCGGAGATCCCGGAGCAGGCCCGTTCGGCGTGTGGAGATAGTCGTCCATCGGGCCCAGTTGCGACCCTGAGGTGGAGATCCTGGGGGTCTGGGGTTGGTCGTCTCTCTTTGTGTGTCCCATTTGTGCCGGTTTATGCAGGTGTGTAGAGTGGTGTGCCGTTCTGGGTGCTGTCGTGGAGCGGAGTGTGGCAGTTAAGCAGCCATTTCAGTCGGAGCCCAGGCCACGCCCCTGTTTTAGCATTTATTATTGTCACACACATTCCTCTGTGTAAAGAGGGATACCTTTGATTTGTATCCAGTACAAACCTTTATCTGGAAATCTATTCATAAACAGGGCTATACATAGGACACGAGGTCACACATTTAGGCTGGAAGAAAGGAGATTTCATCTAAGGCAAAGAAAAGTTGTTGTTTTTTTACAGTAAGAACAATAAGGATATGGAATTCACTGCCTGAAGAGGTGGTTTTGTCAGAGTCCATACAGATGTTTAAACAGCAATTGGATAAATACTTGCAAAAACATAACATACAGGGATATAATTTCTAATTAGTGGGGTAATAGCTGCTTGATCCAAGGAGACATCTGACTGCTATTCTGGGGCCAAGAAGGAATTTTTCCTAGTTTGTTGCGAAATTGGAAGCGCTTCAGACTGGGTTTTTTTTCTTTTGGATCAACAGCAAAAACATATGTCAGGAAGGCTGAACTTGATGGATGCAAGTCTCTTTTCAGCTATGTAACTGTGTCTCGTCCAGTTACTGGGGGAAATGGGTCTCTTTACATTCTACATGGTTCCTGTTCGGCTGAGGGAAGGGAATTAGTGGAGGTAACTGGCCGGGCTACCAGGTGATCCGCTATAGACAGCTACTGTTTCATCGTTCTTCTCAGCCTCTGGGATGAGCCGGCTTTGTACCATGGTGGCCCAGGATGCCTGTAGCCCCTGAACGGTGTGCCTGTTCAGCCGG